AAACTTAGCTACCAAGTCATCCCATGTTTCAATTGAATGCTTAGGAAGAGAATTCAACCAAGCTCTTGCTTTGTTCTTCAAAGATATTGGAATAACTACAATCTCAATGCATCCTTAAAGACAGCGTTTTCTTTAAAATTCTCACATACCTCCATGGATCTTGCAAGATGATCATTAGGGTCTTTATCAGCATTACCCCTAAACTGTCCATACATTAGTATCATTTAGATCATGACTTGTTTAACCTCAAAGTTTTTAATTTGAATTTTTAGTAACCGGATGCTAAAATGATAAGATTATGCTTCCAAATCAAGAAAGGCATTTAGAGTAAAGATATCATTCTCATCTTGATCAGCTCCCTCCATATTGTTGCCAAGAGGAGGAATGTCTTCTCTAAATTCAAGAGCAACTTCCTCACTTGTTTCACCTTCATCTTCAACCAGTCCTTTAATAACAACTTCAAGTTTACCAGGAAAGAGTCCTTGCATACATCAAGAAGGTACCTACAAGGTGAAACCAAAGGAACAAGTATCAAACTTATCAATAAAAATTAGACCTCTATTATATTATTCTTAATTTTAATTTAATTATAGATATTTTATTTTTTTATTATTATTTTAATTAAATTTGGATTTTAAAAATTTTGGGATGTTACAAAGCTCAATTATATATTTTTTAAGCTAGCACATTCACACTAATGTACAACAAATTTTAAAAAAAAAAATTTGCACATGCATGTATACACATTATATTTTTTACCTACCAAAAAATTGCACATACACTTTAAAAGTTGCGCATAGACATGTAATTTAATTACACTAATTTATTCTTTTTTTAATTTGATCAAATTTTTACAAAAATTTGCTTTAATCATATACCATTTCTTTTTTCAATTTTTCATTAATTTACTGCAATTTGTTTCAATTTATTTTGAGACATATGCATTTGAAAAAAAAAATTGGTATAATTAAATAGCAAGATCAGAAGCACAAGATGACCCAACAACGAAAGAAAATAATGGCCATAATAGAATACATTATCTAATAGAATAAAGAAGTCCTACTCGATGATTAAAACAAGTTTGGATCAAATTAAAAAAATAAAAACAAACATGGCTAGAAAGGAGAAACATTGAGAGAAGAGAGAAGAGATGCCATTGAAGCTGGGCTTCATCTCTATTAGGTTCTAAAATAGCAAGAAGAAGAAGAGATAAGAAACTCGAAGTGTTGTAGGTCACTGCTATCGACTCCATCTCCATTGAAGCTAGGCTTCACTGTTGATGGCTTACTTCTATGAGGGAGAAAGTGAGACATAGTGAGGGAGAAAGCAAGAGAAACAGAGTTAGGGAGAAGGTGAGATAGAGTAAGGGAGAGAAAGAGATAGAGAGAGAGAGATAGAATTAGAGAAACGTAAAGAAAAGTGGAAATTCTAAAAAAGGGCATGAGTTTTAAAATTTTGAAAATTAATTCAGAAGCCACCTTGCCCATAAGAGAACACGATGTGGATTATAGAAGCCACATCACTCATCTACATAGGCAATGTGGTTTCATGTACCATCCATGTCAAGCTAGGGAAACTCAACATAGCTAATGCAACATCCTAATTGTTCAATCTATAGATTTTAAGTGTTTATAAGGATAGAATGGTAATTTCAAGTAAATTTTTAATTAATGACATTTATAGGAGACTAATATAGTTTTCAGATCCTTAGACAACCTTAGAAAAAGATTAGGTTAAAGTTTAAACGGGCCATGGCATGGAGGAAAGTTTAAACTATGGTAAGGCTTTTTGGGCCATGCATCACGACGTGTCAATACGCTATGGCTCATGTGTAGAATCAACACTTATTAGTTGAGACGATCGGTGATTGCTAGGGCACGATCTTTGGATCATATTGAGCGCATTTGGGGCAAGATTTGTCATTGGGTAAGCTTCCTCTCCCTTTCCCTCTATGCAAATTTTTGATATTGACTATGTTTGAGGCTTTTATTTAGTTATTTTTAGGTAGTGGACGAACCCATTATCTTATTTAAGGTCTTGAGGAGTTAAATTAAGCCTTTAAACCAAGTTTATGGATTTTATAGTGATTTAAAATTTTTGACTAGGGTTTAAACAAACCCTACATGAGAATTTCAAGTTTTTGGACAATGTGGATGGTTGGATGGTGATTTTGGTATATTTGGATACTAAATAAGATTGTTAGAGTATTTTAGAAAGGTTGATGTTGTTAGATATGGAGTTTGAGTGTTATGGGTACTTAGAACCTAGTAAATTTAGGGTTTATTCGAAGTGATAATTTTTAATTGTCACTTAATTGTGTAGATTAAGGTTGTTCGAGTGTTATTGTATGAGTGAGAACATGTGGAGCTAATGTTGAACCACAGTAACCCTTTTATGATAAAGGGTTAAGGTAACGGAATAATTTATACTATTTAATTATATTGCTTAATTGTTTGTAAGTAGATATGTTAATTTGTTACTTGAGATTTGATAGCCTTGCATATTATGAAATGTGATTTTGTACATGTAAAATAGTTTGCAAATGATGAGAATAGTGAAAGTTTTTATATGGATTGGTTAAGGAATTTAATATGTATATGTGTTATATATAAGATATGTAAGCATGATCATGACGGGGGGTGGGAGTTCACTAATAGGAAGGAGTAATGGAAGTCTATATAGCATGTATCTCTTCAGTGCCTAGTGAGGCAAGGTGTTGGAGATTGTCTCTTTAGTATCCTTACGAGATACGGCATTGGAAAGTGATACTCCTTAGCATCAATGATGTGGTATTGGAGTAATGATAGGGGGAGACCATAGTCCAAAAGAAAGATAGGACACCTTTGGCCGAGTGATCCTATAACTAAAGGTGAGCTCAAGTTATTATGAATGTGCACTTGGCCCAAGAGCCTATGGTTTCATTCAAGGTAATATAGAGGCTCAAATGTAGAATGATCATGCTAGAGTAGAAATAAACATTTATTATGGAAAAGGTTATGTTGTAATATGCTAAAAGTATGTTTTGGTGTATAATAGCTTTACTCTCATACGATTGCATGTTAATTAATAGTCGTGAATTATTTTGTTACTGAGATGTTTATCTCACCTCGTGGTTATATTTTACAGGTGAGGGCTTTGGTAGGGATAAGGGGAAGGAAGGAACAACTGAAGAGTGAAGAGCTTTGTGTGTATAGCTCTTTTCTTTCCTATTTTGGGTTTGTAACAAATATGTCATGTAGTATGCCAACTGAGGAGCATTACATTGTTTTGTTATCTCTTATATAAGGATTTTTGGAATGTGTGCATATCTTGGCCTAAGCTTATAGTGATTATGATTAAATGAGTGTGCTCGGCCAAGATACTAGTATAAGTAATATATTTGTGATATTTTATATGTTGAATTGACCAAAACTATATCTATGATGAATTTAATCCATCTTATTACATTATTAAAAATTGGGGGTTTGATGGTCAATTTGAGTATGGATGGTTATTTGTGAGATGTAATTGGCTATGTATATGGTGTGTGGTTCATTTGAGTTGTTTAAAGTGATTCTGAAGCTAATAGCATTTGGTATAAGTTGGACACCTTTAAATGTATTTTAAGGTGAAAACTAACCATTTTGGATTTAGGTGTCCATCTTTTTAATGGATGATTATTTGGGTGTGAGACTAGTGTCATTAGCTAGAGAGCTAGAAGAATCATGTGGACACTTGAACTACTCAAATTAGATGTTGGCTGACAAAATGGTGGGCTCCAAAAGTTGGTTTAGGGTGCTGTCATAACAGTAGGAGTGCACCACAGTGCATGTGTCAACGAGAGCATGGCTCTCTGTGCCATCCACCATGGCGGACCGTGCAAATTCTAAATCTTTTAATTTTGCTTCAAGTGTGCTTTTAAGTGAAAATTATGTTTCCATACTTTTGATACTTTGTTTAACTTATTTTTAATTATAGTTTGAGCTCAAAAAACTTTTGAAAAAGGTTTTTCTTGGGGTCCTAATTTTGTAAATCATTTACTTTTAAACCCTTGGGTTGTGATAACTTTTACTTGAGATTTTAATTAATCTTGGTTATCATAATGACATGTTAGAGTATTATCTTGGTAATGTCAAGGCAGACATTACAAGCAAAATCCACAATGCCCATACTCAAGGGCGACATGATTTAATGCAACAAGTCATGTCGCCCTTTTGATATACGATGTGGCTTGTTGTATTTATTTAAAATTAGAAAGAATCTATGTCACTCAAACACATAGATGACATGGTTTCTAATCCAAGCCATGTCGCCTAGCTTTCAAGCAACATGGTTTAGTTAAACAAGGTATGTTGCCCACCTGCAAGGGGACATGGCTTATAGAATAACATTTTCTTTTTTTATTGTCATAAAGTACTTTGCCTTGTGTTTAGGTGATATAGCTTGAACTATCTATGTCCTATCTATGTAATTGTGACGTAGATAGTTTTACTCATTCATCACTTATTTACATAATTGCCACCTTATCTAATTTTTAACTTCATGTATAAAATAAGTTACATGAATTAGTGTAGTAATAAGTGTTTTTTGTAGTAGTGTTAAAACTCTAAAACACTATAAAATCCTTAAACATAGAAACTGGATTTAGCTCTCCAAGAACCCTAAGAACATAATGGGTTCGATTAGAACCCAAAAGGAGCCGAAAACAACAACCTATTAATCCCAAATCTATTAAAATCTCACATAGAGAGGAAGTAGAGTGGATAGAAACCTCATTTAAAGGTGTTGCTAGCTTAGAATTCCTCCTAAGTGCTCAATGTACCATCCTAAATTCTTAATCCATAAGACTAATTACTAATTGTAGGTAAATTAGTAAATTAGTTAATTAATTGAATGATAAGGATTTTAGATGGTAATAAATGACGTTTTGACTTGTTGGAATGTTGAATGAATAGGATCAAATGGAAGAATCACAATCCTACTTGAAGAGTGTGAGTTACAATGAGAACACTCTCGCTGTACCATGCACCACAGTGCACGGCATAGAGTCTGAATAAGTGTTACATGAATCAACTGACAAGAAGAAGAGGAGAAAAGGACAATATAAGAGAGGAGAAGGAGCAAGGCTCTGCTAAGGATTGTCATCTCAAATTACTGGCTTGCCAGGTAAGTTTTACACCACCCTATGCTCCTATTTTACATTAATTTCTCTTAGTTTAGGGTATAGAGAAATTGAATTAAGGAGTCTTAAGGGATTGTTTTCTTACCCTTTATTATTAAAAATGTTTTTGGGCATCAAATTAAGATTTTGTAACTAGTTTGGGGTTTAACAGTTAAGCTTTAAAGCTATAAGCACAATTTAACCTAAGTTATGAAGTTTAAAAGAGTGATAATATATGCATAGTTGTAGAGAAGTTAAAGTGATAGAAGGCTTAAAAGGGATTTTTAAGACTAAATATTTTTAAGTAAAGGGGATTAGGTAGTTCATTGTAATTAATTGTGATAAGTAGTACTTATGGTCAATTTAGTAATTGATGTATAGTGCTAAATCATGTAGAATAACATGGCATATATGTGTGACTTGAGTAAGATAAAGTTAACAATGTAAAAAGTGTGATAGGTAACCTTTCTAGAAAACATAAAGGTCAAGGTAATCGAATAATTCATTTTATCTGTTAGTTAGTTTAACTGTTTATAAGTATATTTGTATATGATATGTGTGGTTCTAAACACTATCATGACTTGAAAACTTGAATGATTTTGCATTGAAAAGGAATTTATTTACAAGTAAATTAGTTATGAAAATGGATTTAAAAAGTAAATTATAAATGTATCTCTGTGTGTGTGTGTAGAAAATAACATGCATTTATTTGCATCACTTGCATTAGAGAGGGTAGGAGTTCACCTTGTAATGAAGATCCATATGGATTAGTTGACACTAAGGGACTCACGGTGCATCAATATTAGGGTACTGCACCATGAAAAATATAAGCAGTCTAGTTACTCCCTAGTGCCTATTAGGGTACGATTAGGAGTCAACAGCACACCAGTTACTAGTAATTGGGGGAATTTGTAGTCGCGAAGTAGGATGGAACACCTTGGCATGATAGTTCATCTATAGTTGGGTAAGGATTAAGGCACCATTTGGCAATTCAACTTTTCACATCCTAAAAGTACTTTCCTACTTTTGAGATGTGAAAAGCTGTTTGGGATTGGGTGCAAAAGGACTTTGAAAAAGGACTTCTGAAATGGGCTCAAATGTGAAAAATCCAAAGCTCCATCCAGTAGCTTTTGAAAAGTGAAATGTTATTTGATCATACTACCTCAAATTTAATCTCTAATTTTTTTATTTAAAAAATAGTTAATCCATTAAAAATGTAAGTATCATTTAAATAATAATAATTAGATATTCATTTTTTAATATTATAAATTGAATAATTTGTCATGTTAATTTTTAGCATTAATGTGTAATAAAAATTACAAATATTTATCACATTTTTAAAATTACAAATTACAAAATTACAAATAATTAGAGATCAAGATTTTAGCATTATAGATCAAATTTTATGTTATTTAAAATCTTTATCACATTTTTTAAATATTTCAAATATATTACATTTGTATAATAAAAATTACAAATCATTATAAATCAATGTCCTTTTTAGTAATTTATATTCAAAAGCATATTTTACTATTATAATTCAAACAATTTTTAATTTATTAAACTGACTTTTAAAAAAATATATCCAAACACAAATTTTATTACAACAATTGACCATCACTAAACTGACTTTTATCAAATAAACTTTCAACAAATGGATTTTTGACAAATTAAAACTAAACACACACTAAGTCTCTTGGGAATGGTCAAGGTTGGCTACAAATTCAGTTGGGGACGTACGAAGGATGAATGGATTAGGATGATTATACATGTGAGAAAAATGATTTAGTTGGAGAATAGATATATATATATATATATATATATTTATATACTTTGAAATCGAGAAACAAGGTTTTAGTTACTTTTTTATAGTTATTCTTATTAATAGATAACTTTGAATTATCTCTTCTTCCACTACTTTTCTTGTTGGGAGATTTTTATGAAATCTCAATGTCCATCTACCATTGCAGTCTTTGATATGCCTACTATAAGTCACCTACATGCCATATCTGATAGAAGCAACCACATCCACCCGCATAAAATCTAATGATGGGGGAGTCCATGCATACTATGAATCACTGTCAAGAGGAAAGATTTTATTATTGAATTTCCCATTGTTCGTCTCTTCTAGCAGCAAGGCTATATAGTGCTAAACCATCTCCTTTATTAAAGCTTTGTGAGACTCAAATATTTGCTTACATCTAGAAGTCCATAACACCAAGCAAGTGAAGGCAAAGACTCTAACCTAAGGCCATTGTCTAAAAAGCCTCCCTTTAGGATTATAATGGGAGTTCCACCAAAGCTAAATTTGCAAATTTCCCCAAAAACATATGTTTTATGTTAGTAGAAATAATACTTTTCCAAACATCTTTTGATACCTCACAATCACGCAAAATGTGTATAATCTCTTCCTCACTTTGACACTCATAAGGGCACATACTATTCTTAATTAAGCCTCCCCTGACTCTAAAGGAGTTTGAGGGTAGTCTCTCAAGGGAAGTTTGTCTTTGGAATCTTCCATTTCCAAAAAAAAAGTCCACACAAGGCTAACTAGGTCCTAATCAATCCCCTTAACAAAATCATAAGATGGAGTCATTTCCTTCAACTATAGGTGGTTTATGCTTACATAGGGTTTCATGTAATGTCCTTTATCATTAGAGCTTATGTATTTAAATATATATAAAGTTAAGGTTGCCAACTATGAATTCATGTTTTTGAGTTGTGTGTAACATCCTAGATCTTCAACTTTGAAATTTATAAGTGTTAAAAGAGTAAATTTGTAAAGTGGGAATATATGGTAAAGTTAGCCTAGAGAGTATGTTTGCTACATCACTTGCAGTAAAGGCTAAAATTTTATTATAAGGGCAAGATGTGGTGATTTTTGTATGTCATGTGAAGTGTAATATGAATGCATGAATAATAGTATTGCATTTGTATATTGTGTAGATTTAGGATATTTTAGCCCAAAGTGAATTTTGATATGACACTTGCCATAAAATACAGATACAAGTGTAAGCCATTGGTGTTTATGTATAATAATGATGATTGTATGTTAGATAGTGTAGATTTGGCTTAGGGATGAGATTTCAAAAATTTCATGTAAGGGAACTATTTGTGTGAAATTAGGGCATAGAGTGGCTAAATCTTGGTTTCGATGTGTTATTGGTTTCTTAATTGTTCAACCAAGTATACTTAAGTCTGTTGAACCTGGTTCAAGCACCAGATTAGGCTAATAGCACAAGTTTCTAGTTTTTTTTTTTTTTGCAATTGGATGTTCAAAAATGGTGTTTAAAACTGAATTTATGCATCTGGGTGTCCAACTTTTAAATAGACCATTGGATCGATATGAAACTTGTGCCATTGGTTAGATTATCAAATAAATTTCATGTGGATGCTTGAATCACTTTGATCAGACATTGAATGCGAAAATGGCACACGCCAAAATGTTGGCCAGGAAAGTCATCATGACAGCAATGTGTTGTCATGTAGCTGCATGTGCATCACAATATGTTGCATAGAAAGGCAGAATATGCATTTATGTGCCACACACAAGGATATGTTGACATCAGGCCATGGCATGTTACACAGAGGGCCTAAAATGATCCATTTTGCCTTGTTTTCACTGTGTAACTTTGCAATTTCTCCATGCTTCAAATCTTTAAAGTGCTCTTTTTCTTGTATCAAAATTAAGGTTCAACATACTTATTAAAATTTATTTTCACAAGACTTCAAGGTACTAGCACTCTTGGAAAGAGAGTTGAAGGAAAATTTAACACCGTAATACATAATTAGAATCCTATCAGTTATTGTACATCATGTCAGCAAATTAAAAAATGGCAAAGTTAATGAGTAACTAAGAGGGGGTTTTTTGCTCTTAAAAATATGATTCATGAGAAAAATTATTTCACTTATTAATACAGAGTATCCAATGCTCTTCGGGAAAAATTTGAGATTAAAAGTGACCTTTTATCCTAAATATTAAATCATCTATAAATTTATATATACACATCCTACATTAATAAGACAATAATCATGTTTTTACGACAGAAATTGTCTTGGGGGGACTTCCAACATTCTAAACAATTAATACTTTCTGAAATTACAATTACAATTTGAAAATCTAAAACACAATCTTAAAATTTTTAAATCATAAAATTCAAATATTGAGGTTGACACAATTTTGTTGAAGCCTTTCTTATGATGGATCCACATTGCGTGCTCATAAGCATTTTGGCTCATCTAAGCCATTTATTTCATCTGAAAGTGATATCTACTGTTCATTTTAAATTTACATTTTAGGTTTTCTTAATATTGTATTATTAAAATAAAAATTATAAAAATTATACAAAAATAATATTAAATCTATAATGTACATAGTACATATATAAAGTCAATTTGTTAAATTTTTAATATAAAATTGGATTGCCCATATTATATCTGCATTATCTAGAGTACATCTAGAAAAATTAATTTTAATAAAATTTTAAAATTTTTATTTTGATAAATATAAAATAAAATAAAAATAAAAAAATTTTAAGTCTAGATGATCCAGATCTCATCAGGGGTTATGAGTATTATGATGCTTATTCATTCATAAGCATTGAAGATAATCCAGATTTAATATTAAATTTTTAAAAATTTTTAAAATTTTTTTATTTTAATAATAAAATATTAAAATACCTAAAAAATAAATTTAGAATAAATGACTGAGATCATTTTATGATTAAATAAAAAAATTAATCCACAAGTCCTTAAATTTTTTTTTATTTTGAATTAGATTTTTATAGTTTATTCTATTTTAATCAAGCCCTTATAATTTGATCTATTAAATATGTTAATTCTTGAATGTTAAAAATAATAATAAATTATTACATTTTCCAAAAAAAACTACTTTTGGAGTTTAAGAAAAAATTAATTTAATACTATTAGTCAAAATAAAAAATGATTTTATACACTGTTTATATTTTTATTAATTTTTTTATAAAAATTCTATAAGTATAAAAAATATTTAAAAGACAACCTAATTATATAAATTTTAAATTATAAAACTTATGCAATTAATTTTAAAGTTATATAATCATTTAATAAAAATATAAAAAATTTTAATTTTGTTTTTTAAAAAATTAAAGATTTTAATTTTAGGAGTTAGAAAATTTAATTGATGAAATTATAATGACTTAATGAAATAAAATAAATTTCATTTAAAGTTGAGAAAAGTTATAAGTATTTGTAGGTATATTTTCCATTAAATAAACGGTTAAGATAAGCCAAAATATTGATGACCCCTGCTTATCACTGTGATGTGCTTGCCTTTTGAAATCAGGAAAATATTTTATTTTCTTACCTCGAAATATAATTTCATTTGAATCTTACGAGCCGAAGTTTAGAATTATAAAGATTCAAAGTACGACAATTTAGGGCCATCTCACAAAATTTTATCCCGCCTCGCTTGATTCTCCCATACTGATTTTAATTTTATTACTAAGATAATAAAATCCCAAAGGCTCCCCGGCACTTTCTTCAGCCGGCCACTTCCATCATCCTTCAAAATCCACCCTTCGTCGTCCTCCACAAAGTATGGTCAAATTTTCAAATCTTAACATTAGTATTAATTAAGCAATGCCAAGACTATGAACAGAAATTCCTTTGTTTCTTTTTTTCGTTGAAGATTCTTCATTTTCATTCCTCTAACCCCTTACAGTACAGGAGACCAAGTCTGCTTCCTGAAGAGGACTATAACACCAGCAAGAAGAAGAACAAAGGCTTTCTTCCTTCTCGTCTGGTTTCTTCACTTCATTCTTTCGCTTTTCCAGCTTTTTCCAGAGAAAACTTGTCCAGGTAATTTGATACTTACTCCATCTTTTTTTTCCCCTTGCTCTAAGCACCTGTCATCTCTCTCTCTCTCTCTCTTGTTGTTCTACTTTAACATTAATCTGGATGCTTCAAGCTTTGAATTCCTCTGTTGTTTTTTTAGCTTCTTCTTTTTCTTTTTTAAAAGGAAAGGGATTAAAGTTTCTTCTTTCGGCCGTGTTTACGGTGTAACGCGTATGATCTGTGTATGTGATGATGGACTTCTTTGCTTTAATTGACTGTAGAATTCTGCTTGATTTCCTAGTATCAAAACATTTTTTTTTCAAAAATATTTAATTGGTTATTATGTAATTAAGAAGGGAAGTTGGTTGCTCGACCTTAAATTTAGTTCAGTTATGTAATTTAGTACGTTATAGTGTTATTACTGAAGTTATGGTTTCAACTGAGTCTTGTATTCTATTCAGGAAAAAAGATGAAAAGTTTGAGGAAGAAGTATACCTTCGGAGTTACGGTCAGGCGGAAAAAGAAAAAGAAAAAGAAAGGGGGGGGGGGGGACTATTGTGACGTTGGTAACCAGTTTAATTGGCAAATAATTAGTTATGTGGTTCTAGTGTTTACGGATTCATCTTCGGACCGCCATTAATGTGGTCCTGATTTCTTCGATATTGGGATTTTGACTTATTTTTGCCAACTTTAACTGAAGTTATTTATGTCAATTCAAATGGCGTCAGTTCATGATAAGTATTATATTTCTCACAGCATTCTAGATGAGAACTCGGTAAGCTGTTGAAGGGGATAAAGAAAATAAGTTTCTGGGTTGACCAACTTTGGGGGCGTTGACTGGTAAACGCCTATTGATGTGGGGGTTTCGTAGGAGAAGGGGATAAAGTGGTCTTCACCTAATTGCCCCTCTTTTTTCTTAAAAATAAAATAAAATAAGGCATTCTAGCAAATACACTGTCGAAGCGACCATAAATCTAAAGTTTTTTTGTGGCATAGAAGAGGGGAGCTTTGGTCCTTGACCATATTAAGGTTGCATCAAAATTTACATGCTTTTGGGATATTATGAAATTCGTATTTTGGTCGCTGTTGATGAACTTGACAAGGTATTGTATTTGAGTTGTGTTATGCACATTGAGTACTTCATACAGTATTTCAGTTAGTTTTAATCGCTTTCTTGATGTGAACACAGGACCAGCATTTGACTGCATCTCTCTGCAAGTGACATGGTGGATGTCTCTGTTTCCAGAACTATAAGGGTGAATTTTAGGGTGAAATCCTTTGCACAGATGTTTCTTACAGTCTATATCAAATCACTTTTACTGTTTGTTTCATATAACACCAATTTTGGTTATATTGATGACTCCAAAAGAACCTGAAAATTATTCACATGACAGTTTTGGTGTCCTTTTTCTCAAGTCCTGTGACTTCTAGGTCCTGAGTGATTGCTCATTCCTATGATCATCAAGATGAATAAATGGTATGGTGGGGTTCTGATGGCTTCCTTGTTTACATTGTTTATGCTTCTGATACTGAGATATGGGGTCATGAAAAACCCTATTGGCGAAGGCTATCTAACTATATCTAACATCTCTAATGGCACTAATCCTCTTAAATGGATAAATCCTGGGGTTCCACCTGCCATTCAAAATCCGGTGAGTTATTCTCAAGTGATTTCTGCTGATCTTGTCGTGTCAACCCTCTTTGATCAAGGCAACTTCTCCAAAGAAGAGCAACAAACTCTGCAGACATGGAACCAATTGAAACACTTGACTGGTCATGCCCAGGGTTTACCTAATGCAGTGGAAGCTATCAAGGAAGCTGCAGGAGCATGGAATAATCTCATGCACTCAGTTGAAGAGCGAAGAGAAGGTTATGCAAGTGACAGTTTAGATTGGAGAATGAAAGAGAAGCAATGTCGCCATTTTCTTGATAACATGAATTCAACAGGACTTGATAATAGTAGTTTCAGATTGCGATTTCCTTGTGGCCTGACACAAGGTTCTTCTGTGACTGTCATTGGCATCCCCTATGGTCTTCTTGGTAATTTTCGAATTGACTTGACAGGAGAACCTCTTCCTGGGGAGCCTGACCCCCCAATTATTTTGCACTATAATGTGAGGCTTCATGGTGATAAAATCACTGAAGATCCTGTAATTGTCCAAAACACCTGGACTGTAGCTCATGATTGGGGTGAAGAGGAGCGATGTCCAACCCCTGCTCCTGGCAAAATCAAGAAAGGTAAAGGTACTATTGTTATGTATCTGATGCAACATCTGTACTGAACTCATGTTCTTTGCAATGGAAAGAACAGATTCATATTTATGTTTATGCCTATCAAAAATTATTTTCAAAATGATATCCGCCATGAAGATAAGATGTTGCTTCCATGACTTTGAAATCAAATTATCATAATTTGACTGCCACATGCGATTCAGACTTTCCTATATTACAGATAGTGAAATGGAAATCTGGCACAAAGACACAGCTTTTTTCTTTGGCTACTATCAGTAATGTCTCATTAGTAATGATCTCAGAGACAATTTATTTTAAAAAAAAAAAATGGTCTATCACCTTAGCGACAGAATTGAAAAACCAAAGTTTGGTGTTAAAGCTTAGTCTGCATGGTTGATAATGATCCATTGTGTGTATAATCTACCATACAGTTCTACTGTATGACTAAGTTTCATTTTCTTTGACATTGCTGTTTCTTTTTCCAGTTGATGAGCTTTGGCAATGTAATAAGATTGTAGGGAAGAACATTAGCCAACTTTCAATTTCTGGCCTGAATTCACACACTTCAGGGAAACTTTCAGCATCAGGACATTCTAAAAATAAAAAATACTTTCCTTTTAAGCAAGGAATACTATTTGTTGCAACTCTACGGGTTGGATCAGAGGGAATCCAGATGGCTGTTGATGGAAAGCACATATCATCATTTGCTTTCCGCGAAGTACTTATTTTCTCTCTTGCTTCAATTATTAATTTTTGGTCCGGCATCATTTCCTTGTATCTTTTGCTTACTTGTGTGCTTACTATTCAGACTTTGGAGCCATGACTTGTCAGTGAAATGAGAATTTCTGGGGACATCAACTTGATTTCTGTTCTTGCCAGTGGTTTGCCCACTTCAGAAGACACAGAACATATTATTGATCTGGAATCATTGAAATCAATAACTCTATCTGTGCGGACTCCATTAGATCTCTTAATTGGTGTTTTCTCTACAGCTGACAATTTTAAGCGTAGGATGGCTGTTAGAAGAACCTGGCTGCAATACTATGCAGTTCAATCCAATACAGCTGCTGTGCGATTCTTTGTCGGTTTGGTATGTGCTATTTGTGGTCTGCTTGCATAATTCTAAGAATTTGTTAAAGAGGGGAATATAATTTCATTAAATCACCCCATAAACTTGAGATTTCTTGCATACTTGTCATAAATTGATCGTCAAAAGTTGTTGGAGTGATTGGTTTCAAGATTTTTGTGCCATCAACTTATAAAATAATACTCACTTTGTTTTGTTCCTTGGCAAATATTCTGTCTTTTAAAGGTGTTACTTGTCAGCTTCTGCTCTTAATTAAGCAGCTTTCTGAATTACGTATTCTGTATGAGGTGATGCAGCATAAAAACCAAATAGTTAATGAAGAACTGTGGAAAGAAGCAGAGACCTACGGAGACATCCAGTTGATGCCATTTGTCGATTATTACAGCCTTATCACTTGGAAAACTTTGGCAATCTGCATATTTGGGGTAATTTCTTTTGTTGTCCTCTTTACCTTGTTGGAGAGTCCTTCCTTTCTCTTATTATTGACTTGAATCTTTTCAGCAGACAGAGGTTGTATCAGCAAAATATGTCATGAAGACAGATGACGATGCTTTTGTTCGTGTCGATGAAGTACTTGCTTCTTTGAAAAGGGTCAACAGGACTCGTGGGTTGCTTTACGGACTCATAAATTCAGATTCCCGACCTCACCGTAGCACTGATAGCAAGTGGTACATCAGCCCTGAGGTAGATCCATCTTCTATTTTCCTATAAGAAGGAAATATCAAGTTACTTGTGTTGTTAACCTTTGACAGGCTTCACATTAACTTTTTAGTTGCTGGCTATGTTGCAGGAATGGCCTGATTCAACTTATCCCCCTTGGGCACATGGTCCTGGCTACCTAGTCTCACATGATATAGCTAGGAAAGTGTATGAGAGATGCAGAGAGAGTCATTTAAAGGTACTCCGTCTAGTTCTTATTATATGACATCTTTAACTCTAATTACTTTACCATAATTAAGGAGAGGTGGTTAAGTTATTAATGTTGTCAAAAAATTTAATAAACTTCCAATCTTACTTCTATTCAAATGAAAAATTTTCATATTTGCATTTAATTTTTTTTTTCTCATAGTTAATGAGTTTAAATAAGGGTAATATTAAAAAAAAATGTAATGAATACCTTATCAAGCGTCTTATATCAAGGACAAAAGAATTCTTCTAAAAGACACTCTATAATAGAGACCGGAGCAGTATATAAAGTTACAACATTGGTTACTTATTCTCTAAAAACTATCTACAAAGCAAGAAAGTTAAATTGAAACAATCTTCAACACTATCTGGCAGATGTTCAAGTTAGAAGACGTGGCGATGGGAATCTGGATTGCAGACATGAAGAAGGAGGGTCTGGAGGTTTGGTACGAGCACGAAGCGAGAGTGTATAACGAGGGTTGCCAGGATGATTACGTGGTGGCTCATTACCAGGGTCCAAGAGGGATGCTGTGTTTGTGGCAGAAACTTCAGGATGGAAAAGGTGCAAAATGCTGTGGCAATAGAAGATGACTCCAAAACATGACTGGCTACCCTATAACTTTTACTAGTGTTACACCTCACAAAGGGGGAAAAAAAGGATCTTAAAAATCACTCCTTTTCATGGAGAATGTATAATTAGGGTTGTTAGTGTAGCTAGAATTTATTAGAAAGAGTTCATGGCAGTACACAGTAGTAGTGTGAAATTCTTTGAAGTAAAGCATATATCCGTATTAGAGATATGTATATATATATATAGAGAGAGAGAGAGGGGGGGGGTTTCCTTGTATAGTGCCATGGTTTTTTGGGATGGATGAGCATCAATGCAGAGACGAAATTAAATATTTTCCGCTAAGTTTTGTGCCATTGCTGAGGAGGTATTATATCTCCCTTCTAAGGCCTTGTTGGGTTTGTACATAGAATTGAAGGCTATGGAAATTAAAATAAATAAATAAAAATTGATGAATGGGATGAAATGGGAAATAGTAGTATCTTTGGAATAGTTAAAATAAAAAGGGAATTCGTTTCCAATAATTTTTTTTTGGTAGGATGAGAATTGCATGGGTATAGAAATATAGATAAGGATAAAGAAAATAGAAAATACCCCTAACATGAAATAGGACGCAGAATTATATTTAACTTATTATTGTAGATGTAAAACCATGTAGCAATTTGGGCAATTCATTTTGCCCACTCTCCTATAATGCCAAATGACAATCATACCTTTTTTTTTTAATGTCTGATCTTTGGTGGAAATATATAAATTATACCAAATAAAATATGGCAAAATTTTCTCAAGCGAATCCATTTCTAATGGGGTTCCAAACAGGGTTAAATTTTCACATTAATAACTCATTCAAAACAGATCATTTATATACTCATATATAGACTGTATTAAAATATATAGTTGTGTAAAATTTAACGTGTGTTTGGTACATTTGGACTTTTGTAAACAGTCCTACAAACACATTCATTTTTTTCGCAGCCTGAAACACTTGCTCATATTTCACCCTTCACACACACACACAAATTGAAATCAGCAACCCCGTGTTGCAACTAAATAGTCAATGGAGACTTTTATTAAAAGGATAGAATGGCACACTTTTGCCGACAATACTGTCCAATAAGTGCTGAAAAAGTTTGTAATGGCTTTTATGCTCTGTCAAAACTCATGCCATTACCATTTCACTATTATCATGAAAGATCGACCTTATTTCAACGCATTAAGAACATTTTGAATAACATGATTTGACCATATAGAAAAAATTTAATAGACTTTGGTAACATGCAACTTTGAGAAAGGAATAGGTCTCAATGTGTGAACTGAATTGCTTGTATCCTTGCTTGGATTAATTTTACCTCTTCATATTCAAAAAAAAAAAAAATGTTATCACAGTTAAAGATTTGTATCATTTTATTTGAACGAGTTGATTAGATTAGATTTAAGGATTAAAGATTATCTTTTCTTTATTTTTTTTTTTTAAGAAACATTGGCTACTTTATATTGAAAGATGGGACAAAAGAGCTGAAGTGACAGTGACAAAAACTGTGCTTGATTTTAGCAGCTAAACAATGGCATAACGGGTCAAAATACCTTATTATTACTATATGTGGACTCTTAATTATTTCATATCAACAAATAACAGAAAAGATAGAGTATTTGATGGAAGGATGATTTTGCTCCCAAAAAATTGTTTTAAGAGAATATCATCCCGCCCTTCAATACTGGTGCCCAATATTTCTTAAAAAAGTTTAAAGGAAAAAATAAGTGTTCATATCAAATATTTTAGCTAGTTCCGCTTTTCACATCCACAAGGGAAAGAGAGGTTAAATAGTCGGAACTTACGACACAAAGGGAATGGGAATTGAAGTTGGGCAAATATAATTGAGTGTACAAAGGAAATCTCTATTAAATATAACGGTAAATGTGCAAATTTATTTTTAAATTTTTTTTTCTAAAAGCATATGATATCTTAAACAATTTTTTGGAGCAATATTGCTCCGCAACTTTCCAAAATGGTACAATATTATCCTATCGTCAGAGTTGACCGTTTTGTCTAACTGGACTTTCACGTAGTTGTGGTGTGACATTTTTAAAAATTAAAAAAAATGATAAAGGTATAAATTTATCTTGAAACTTTTCCTCTATGGCCATTTGATATCCTCAACTTTTTTTTTTTTGGGAGTAATGTGCCCTACTGTTAGAGTTTGACCATTTTGTTTGACTTCACTTACCACATGGTAGCCATGTGGTATTTTTTAAAAAATAAAAAAAATAAAAAGAGCTATGTTTCATCTTCATTAGCTTTCTTTTTTTTCATCCACAACATTAAAAATGAATAATAACCCAGAACGCTAAGATGAAAAATTAAACTCATTTTCAACATTAAAAAACAATCAAACCCAACATTTCAACATCAAAAAACAATTAAAGGCAAGGGATAGAGAGAAATAAAAAAACACAACTCAAGAATCCACCAATTCAATAATAACACAAAATATCCAAAAAAAAACAAGAACCAAAAATTAAAAACTCAGATTGACTAACACTAAGTAGAGAAAAATAACAACCCAATGGGTGACAACTATGGGGCTTCTCGTTTAGCTCTTGTCTTGCAAATGCCGAGGTGGAGGAGGGAGAGCGATGTGCAACTGAGAAACAAGGATGGAGTGGATGACATTTTTTTTAAAAATGCCACATGGATGCCACATGGCAAGTGAGTCAAACAAAACGGTCAACTCTAATAATAGGGCAACATTGCACCATTTTGAAGAGTTTTAAGGAAACATTGCTTAAAAAAAACGTTGAGGACACTAGGCGCCCTTGGAGGAAAAGTTCTAGAGTAAATTTGCACTTAAAAATGCCACATGGCAAGTCCAATCAGACAAAAACGGTAAACAAATGGTCAACTCTAATAGTAGGGTAACATTACACCATTTTGAAAAGTTCTGGGGCAACATTGCCTCCAAAAAATGTTCAAGATACTAGACACCCCTGAAGAAAAAGTTTCAAAGTAAATTTATACCTTTACCTTGAATATAATCCTGAAACTTTTATTTTTATGTATCCTTTTATTGGAAGCATTTTTATTTGAAACACAATCATATATTAAATATAAACATATTTCCTAGTAGAGAATCAAACTTTGGTTAACTATGTTATGAAGAACTAGTTCATTTTCACTAAATTGAATTCCTATTTGTTAAATATAGATGCTGAAACTTTTTTAAATGGTCCCTAACCTTTCCACTTTTTTTTTTTTTTTTAACTTTTGAGGTACAAGTAGAATTTTATTAAATCTATGAACAGAGCATGTGGTAAAAGCCGAAAAGCCACTTGCCAAACAGGTAGAATTTTGATGTTACTATTTTTCCTTCAAGCAAACTTGTACACAACACAAACGTTCACACTAATTTTAGAGTGAAATAAGTAATCAACTGGGCATCATGTTGTGACATCATAATATTTTCTTTCTTATCTTACTTTTTATATCATACACTAGGACACTCATTTATAATTCACCTCCACAATGGACCCTGTCCAAATTATTTATTTACATGTTTTTTCATTTCCTGATATCTTTCTTCTTGTGTTGGAGCCAGAATGGGGTCGGTTTTGACCAAAATCTGTAGCACCATATCAACATGCATTATTCTACCATTAAACAAACATCAAAAATCCATTTTAAGATTAGCATCATTTCATTTGAGTCCATACATTTGGATCCAACAAATCCTTATTGGATTGTCTCTCTTCTATAAAGAATCTACAATAATCATAGTATGCAAATCTAGATCAACTCACTTAGTTGAATTGACAAATTATTAAATCAAAACCTTAACTGATTTGATAAAATGCTTTGTTTAATCACTGTTCAACTACATTTTTTATCATTAACTCTTTAACTAGTGCCTTGTTCAACTACATTTTTTATCATTAACTCTTTAACTAGTGCCTTGAATGATTTAATGATAAGTCCGGTTTTTGCTATTTTAACAATAGTTACAGCATTGCATGCAGATCTATCCTGACAAGAATCCAAAACTAGATATTGCAATTTCAAAGGCTCGCATCCTTTCTCCGTGAGCAAAACCGTTGCGATCGTAGGACGATATTTCATTTATGTTGAAATCAATACAAGCTTTGACAAGAGCATCCCCGACACGTTGAGCAGCTTCCTGAGCATCATAATACACAAAATCAGAAAAGATCCCAAGGTAAGACACAGTGAGATAAAATTGTCTGGGAAACACAAACGATTCACGAGTAAAAGGAAAAAGGTTCTTTGTCTCGCTTTCGTTGAATATTTGTCAAATTGCTGAGTGCGGTAATTACAATAGTGGTACAAGGAGTATCTTGTCGGATAGATTTCTGCAATGTGCTTCCATAGAACAAACACGCTTTGTTTCGGTCATCCACCAGCATGGCATACAACTGCTTCTCTGAGCAAAATACTGAAAGCCTTGGCCTTTTAGACGTTCCATTAAACTGCAAAAATGACAGGGACAAAAGCATAGGACCAATAATATTCATAGATCAGTTTGCAGTAGAGTTCCATATAACCAGATGAGTTCAATAAAGAAAGCTATAGTTTGTAAATTTTTATTGTTTATCATCACCTTGTCAGATAAAAATTCAAGCTATGGGATTAGCACAACATAATTGATTTTTTTCTCCAAGTCTTGTGTTTTTACTTTAAAGAAAAATTGATAGCCAAACAGCTAAGAAATTTTACTCAAGTCTTGTCTTTTAAGAAACTATTGAGTTGAGCCTCCCTTGATGGTGCAGCAATATATTTTGTCACCTAATTTAAGTAAGACATGCACTTTAGTTTTATCAGCAGCATTGTAACATGTTTATGGTACTCAAACAAAATAATAGGACCCAGATAAGGGACGGCGTTCCCACAGCACATATCTATTGAGGCTTCAGTGTAGCTTTTATTGACAGAATTGTAATTTATACACACGCACATATAAGTTACAAGACAAATCTCTGAAACCAAAACACCTCTATCATACTATAGATACAAAAATTTGGACACAAATGATATGTAAGTATTAAGGGTGAACAAAAGCAACAAAGACATGACAGAAGGATAAGTCATACCTTTTTCTGCATCCTCCTGTTCCGGATTTTGGCACTTTCTTTTCTAGCATTTGCCCTAGCTTCAATAACCAGTGCTTTCTTGGCCAAACCCGCAATAAAAAAAAATTACTCTCAACAGAAACAACGATATGAATCCTTGTGCACTTAAAAAAAAAAAACACTAATGTGTTAATGTGGCATAATCAATATCTATAATCATATTTGAAACCTAAACTTCAACCTCACAACAGAAAATACCAATTACCAAGGGTAACTTGTGAAAAACTTACTTCTACTCAGCGACTGAAAGAAAGCAATAGGCTTTGACTGAACTCCGAAGACTGCAGAATTCGTAAATTGAAGTGCAGGAACATTCACAAGACCCATATTGTGCAGTTCTATTCAAAAGAGAACAAGTTTGAAGAGTTGAGTAGCCAAATCAAAAGGCTGTAACATAGAAATTTACATTGTACCCTTATCCTGCCAAGCTGAGGGCGATGTGAAACCTGCTATGAAGAGTAAAACTTGCATGCACAAAGAACACTAAGTTTCTCACAGTAATTTCAACAAACAGTTGGTGTGCAGGTTCATTACTTGTCCTGAAGTATTCAACAAAAGAGTGTATAGTAGCAAAAAGTGTTGCTGAAATTTGTCCACCAAGGCATCAGCTTGCAAAGAACTCCGACCAATTCTTGTCACTATTATAAGACTTAATCAATATAATAGACCACACCTAGCGTGACTCGAATCTTGTTTACAGGCCCTTCACAATTCAACTCCAATCCAATTTTTAACCACCATCTAATATCAAAGTTCGTCACCAAGCATCAGAAGTGACATGTTGCAATAGACTAATAACATGTTGATATAACAGTAAAAAAATGTGACTAAACTGTGTGATCAGCAAGCTGCAATGAAGAGTTAATTGGAACACGCATTGAAGGGAAAGGCATATGCTGAGAAGAAGAACTAGTCAATTAATGTATTGCTACCATAATTCATTTGTTTGCTTGCAAGTCCCATTATACAACAATACCTGTATTGTGCAATATAATATCTTATAACTGTACAAGATATCCCCTTTTTGTGGTCCATATATCTTATTCTTGCCCAAAAATATGGATAATATATATATATATATATTTTTGTTAATCACTTTTTAACTCCCTAATCACTCATATTCTTTTCTCGGTGCTTTTAATCTACGACAAAATAAAGCTCCTTCACTCTACTACAACAGCTACAATGAATTTATATGGCTTTTAGCAGAAAGGGGGTATTTTAGCAACAAGCACCTTAAGTATCTTAGTGGGAACTGAGGACCTAGGAAAAGGAAAGGCTAAGAAAAAAGAGAACTGTTCCAACTAAACAGAGCTACAACTTGTATCAGCGGAAGCTTTCTATCTGGGATGGAATAACAAAAAAGAGATCCAGAGAAGACAACAGAGAATAGGGAAAACACCTGATCAAGATTGATAAGATGCTCAAAAGAATATTTAACGGTGTTACAGAATGCTTCATTCTTGAAAAAGATTTCTTTCGATATTTTGTCAAGAGAAGCCATCAAATCTAGAAGGGAATGGGACGCCCAAGACCAGCTGTTACCATTAAGGGCTTCGATGCACTTGTCTTTAAGTAGGGAGTATCAAGTTGGAGTAAATGGTTCGACAACATTTCTTCTCTAACCAAATTTTTAAATACTTGAGGCAAATTTCTTCTAGATCAACTAATGTTCCATCTAGATTATAAAGAAAACTATACACAGAAATCCTACATTCTACCAAACAATACATCAGTTCAGCAGAGAAATAGTTGATTACAGGCAATATCCACATATGTTACTGACACAGGCATATCCACATATATGTCAACAGCCACATGTGAAATTAATTTTTCTAGCTAGCAAAATACGAAGTTTTGTTCGTTTTCTTTTCCGTATTTTTTTTTTGGGCAGCAGATCCCAAGATTAACAAGAAGTAGAAAATACGAACACCATCATATTCTTTTGGGCAAAATTAAAAACACCATCATATAAGAATGACGATAACGAGATGAGCATGGGAAACTTACCGAAAAATGCTTGACGGAAACGCAACAGCAAGAGGAGGATGTTTGAACGACGCACGGCGACGAGGAACGGTGGGAGCAACAGGCCTGACAAGATCAAGAGGCAGGGGAGCCTGATGAGCACCGAGAGCTCATACTTGGATGAGTTAATCCCAGCCCTTCATGAAATAATTCTTCCCTTTCATTTTAAATTGATGGTTTTTTTTTTTTTTTATATTTTTAAGGGGGAATCACCACCAAGGTCTTGAAAATACAGAATATTACATTTTAGGCTTCAAAAGTTCTGATATTTCCTTACAAGCTCAAGGGCCATTTTTGCACTTTTTTTTTTTGGAGCAAAAATACAATTTTGCCATTTTTGCAGGAAACTTTCTCAGTTGAAGAAGTTGAAGGTTTCTTAGCTCTAATGGTGAGAAGTAACTTCCGAAATTCATAGATTTCAAAATCCATCCATCTTAAATAGTACTTGTAATATCCTAAGCTTTTAAGCCAGGAATTTTCAATATTTATAAAGGTATTTTGGTTAAATTAGATAAATTATTGATTAATGACATTTATGAGGGATTAATATACTTTTTGTATCCTTAGACAGCCTTAGAAGAAGGCTAGGTTGAAGTTCAAGCAGGCCATGGCATGGAGGAAGGTTTAAATTGATAAGGGACTTTCTGTGTCATGCGTCGTGACTGACGTATCAATGTGCCACAGCATACATGCAAAATCTGCATTTTCAAATCATGAAATCAGACCCAAAATTAGAAGTAGGGTAAAGAAAACTATGAGGAGGTGACGGGAAACGATTAATGGCTGTTAAGGCACGATCTTTAGACCATTTTGGATACATTTGGAGCTTATATCATTATTGGGTAAGTTCCACATTCCCTTACTTTCCTCTTTAAGTGAAAATTCTGACTTCTAGGATAATAGGGGCTTTGATCTCGACTCCCTTGGGTTCAGACTGAAACTATTGACTTATTTAAGGTCTTGAGGAGTTAAATCAAGCCTCTAACCGTAGGTTTATGTGTTTTATAGTGATTTAAAATTTTTGTGGAGGGTTTGGACGACTCTAAGCATAATTTGAGATTTTTTAGACAATGTGAATAATTTGATGGTGATTTTGGTATGTTGGGATAGTTACTAGAATGGTTAGAGTGCTTGGAAATGGTTGATGTTGTTAGATAAAGAATTTAAGTGTTATGGGTACTTAAAACCTAGAGAATTCAGAGTTATCCGGAGTGATAATTGATAATTATCACTTGATTATGTATATTGAGTATTGCTCAAGCTTTATCGTGCATATAGAATGTGTGGAGCTAATGTTGAGCCACGTTAACCCTTTTGTATTTTATGTGACAAAAGGTTGAGGTAACGGAATAATTTATATTAATTGATTATATTGCTTAATTGTTTGAGTAGATAAGTATATTTGTTTACATGTGTTTCAAAAGCTAGGCATGTTGCAAAAGATGATTTTCCTTGTGTATTAGAAACTATTTTCAAAATGATAAATATTTTTGACTCCTTATGTGAAAAAGATAGTGACTTTTCACAAGTGTGTGAAATGTATGGAAACTATAAGCATGATCATGTTAGAGGGTGAACTTATTGGAAGGGGTAGTGGAAGTCTATATGGCATGTATCTCCTTAATGTCTAGTAAGGCACGACATTAGAGAAAGTCTCCTTAGTATCCATATGAGATACGGTGTTAGGGAGTAATGCTTCTTAGCATCAGGAATGCAGTGTTGGAGTAATGACACCCCAATTCGTGTGCGATAGACATATTCTAGATGTGGGATAGAACACCTTTGGCTGGGTGATCCTACCACCAAATGTGAGCTCGAACCATTGTAAATATGCACTTGGTTTAAGAGTTTATGGTTTTAGTCGAGGTGATATAGAGGCTCGAATGGTAGAATAATCATATTAGTAGTAAATGACTTGTGTTATGGAAAGGAATTGTTGAGTATGCTAAAAGTTTGTTTTAATGCTTAATAGTTTTACTCTCATATGGTTGTGCATGTTAATTAATAGTAGTGAATTATTCTATTACTGATATGTTCATCTTACCTCGTAGTTATATTTTACAAGTGAAACCTTCGGTAGGGGCAAGGGGAAGGAAGGGATAAATGAAGAGTAAAGAGCTCATTTGTATAGATCTTTTCCTTGTCATTTTGGTTTGTAACGAATATGTTGTAATATTATGCCAACTTAGAATCATTACATTGTTTTGGTATTACTTGTATAAATTTGTGATATGTGTGTATATTTTGGCCTAATATTGATGCTATTGTAATTGAATGGGTGTATTCGACTAAGATACAATCACAAATGTTATATTTGAAGTGATTTATGTGTTAAAATGACCAAAACAATATTTGTGTTAAGTTTTATCCACCCTTTTATGTTGTTGTGAATGGGAGGTTTGGCGGTCATTTTGAATATGAATGCTTAATTGTGTGATATGATTGACCTGTCATATTGTGTGTGGTCCATTGGAGGTGATCAAAGTGATTCCTTAGTTAATGGCATTTAGTGGTGTGTTTTAGACATCTTTAAAAGTGTTTTGAGGTAAAAATGAATCATTTTGGGTTTGCGTGTCCAGCTTTTTAACGAATGATTATTTAAGTGTGAAACTAATGAATTACCTAAAGAGCTCAAAGAGCTTCATGTGGACACTTGAATCACTCAAATTGGACGTCGGATGACAAAACAACATACTTCAAAAGTTTAAAGTGCTATCTGCTGTTATGATAGTAGGTGCACACTATGGCGCATGGTAGTTGTGCCGCGACATAAATGCCTTCTGAAGGACTCGTCCTTCTGTGCCATCCGCCGTGGCGAGTGTGGGTTGCATCACGGTGAACGAGCCAGATTATGGAAAATTTCTAGATTGTTTCAGCTTGTTTTAAGTATTGTTTGATTTTCATGTTTCTATTATCATATGTGATTTATTTTAAATGGTTTGAGCTCAAACAACCTTTTTTTAAAAAAAGATTTTGTTGGGATCCCATTATTTTAAACTAATTACTATTAAACCCTTAAGTTGTGATAACTTATACTTGGGAGTTATCTAATCCTAGTTATCATAATAGTGTTTAAGTGTGTTGTTCTATTAATATCAAGGCAGACATTATAGTACTTTGATTATCATTTTTCTATTGAACTCTAATTAAGGGTGTTGTCTACCATTTTTTATGCTGAAACAAGAAATAGCTAAGAGGTGAACAACAGGACTTGGTGATCTACATCAGTTTTTGGTGTGCACAAGGTAAAAATAGTTATTATGTTTTGGTGAGTTGAGAGTTTAGTTGAATGATTAAAGTGGCGTCATTCTTGCTTGTTGGTGAGGTGGTGACAGAGGTGGCCTTGGCTCATTTAATATTTAGTAGTTTTATTTAATTAAAAGAATTTAATGAGAGTTTTACATAAGATAGTAGGGTGCATATGAGATGGATTTTTTTTTTTTGTAAAAGCTGCACTATAATGTTGAAATTGGAATTTTATTTGTGATTTATTGTTAATATGAGCTAAGGGTTGTTGAACCATGTAAGTTGGTTGTAAAAGTTTTAGAGTGAATTAGTTATTGTATAATAATGATAGTTAATTTGTTTATATTAAATTTTTACATGTGAATTGAATAAAATATGACCCAATATGAAGAAAATCTATTACCAAAAACGTTGAAGTATTTATTGTGCAAAAATAAACTTTAAGTTGTTGGTATTGAATGTTGAGTTGTGCATTTTTTTTAAGCCTACCCTATGATATATTAGACACGCATGGACATTCAGTTGAAAATATATAAACATTATTTTATGCATAGTAGATATTGTGTTGTACATTATTTGCCTAATTTATATATTTCGTTAAGCCTAGCCTATTGATATATTAAACATACATAGACTTTTAGTTAAGAATATATGAATATTATTTTGTCCATAATGGATATTGTATTATACATTATTTGCCTGACTTGTGCATTTTGTTAAGCCTAGACTATTGATTAAATGGAATCTCATGACTTTGAATTGAGAATATATGAATCTTATATTGTGGATAGTGGATATTGTATTGTACATTGTTTTCTTGACTTGTGAATTTTGTTATGCCCAACTTACTAATATATTAGATATGCATAGACTTTCAGTTGAAAATATATAGGTTGAAAAATCCAAAACCAACTGGAGAACCATATTCCTATTGGTAGCAATTTGGAGCAACCGAGTAATAAACCGCAAGAAAATGAGGCTCTACTACTCAAAATGAGAAATTAAATGCAAGAAATTTATGACACAATATGAGGAAAAGGTACACTAAGAAACAAAAAGGCAAAAGAAGAAAGTAGAACTATTGAGAATGAGGAAGAAATATATAAGGAGGAAGATGAAACGTATGAGGAAAGTACACCCAAGCAATCGGGGGCTATGGGTGGCAATAGTTCACAAAACTTCATGGATTGGGCTTGAAAGAGTTTTTCATGGTTCCATCTGCCTACTTTTGATGGGACTATGAAAGAAGGGGAAGTTGAGGAGTGGTGATAAGTCACATTTATTGCGCACTTTTCCTTATTATTATTGACAAAAAATCATGTTACATTTAACTAAATTGCACACTTATTGTGAAAATTCACTTAAGTGTAGAATTTTGTACATTAGGGGCATTTTGCTCATAAAATTAGACTTTTAAGAAAATGTTTGAAAAAAGTAGTCAAGATGCATTTTTATTCCAGAAGAACAATGGTCAAATTAGATTTCTCAAACTCATTTTAGATTGATAGTATTTAATTTTACAAGTTGACAATTTTGAAAAGTCAAAGTTTCATATTGACTAGTTTTCTTATATTTGGGTTAGATCATTGTTTTGCATGTGTGGCTTCCAATTTCAGGCTATTTGGCATGCCCCTTTGCCTCTTTTTGATATCATCATTAGTTTTTGTTATTTAAGTGCATTATGACACATATTTAGAAATTAATTTTAATTAGAAATGCAATTATTATCCATATGCTTCGAGTTTTGATCTTGTGTGTCACATTTATTTGTGTAGGGTTACAAACCATGGATTTAGAACATGAGGATCATTGGATTGGAATAATAGATAAGTCAAAAGGCAAAACACTTAAGTTTTGGTCATGCACACATTGTACCATAATTTGAATCCACACATA